ACTGCTGGCTCCCAACTGTTCGCCTGCCTTTGCCTGATTGCCCCTAACGGCTTCTGCCTGCCAGCCTGATCATCCCCTAACCACTCCCCTGCCAGCCTTTTTGATGCCTAACTGCTCCCCTGCCAGCCTGATTGTCCCTAACTGTCCTTCTCTGCAGGCATGGTCCTCTCTTTTCCCCCACACCCTCCTGCCCAACCTCTCTCCCCTGCAGGCCTGGGTCCCACCAACTTCCCTTCCCTGTAGGCCCAGTTGCCCCCAACTTCGCTCCTATGTGGCTTGATCACCCCCCCAACTGCTCCCCCTTGTAGACCTGGTCCCTCCCAACTGTCCTCCCCTACTGGCCATCTTCTGGTGGTCATCTTGTGTCCACATGGGGGCAGCCATCTTTGACCACATTGGGGCAGCCATCTTGTATGTCAAAGTGATGGTCAATTTGCATATTACTCTTTTATTAGATAGGATAGAAGCCTGGTACATAGGTGGGGGCCAGCTGGTTTGCCCTGAAGGGTGTTCCAGATCAGGTTGGGTGTGGGGCAGCCAGGGTGAGGGGCCTGTGGTGGTTTGCAAGCTGGCCACCCTGCCTCCTCCTCCTCCCTCCCTCCCCCCAGTAACCCAAGTAGAGGCCCTGGTATCTGGGATTTATTAATCTTCTATTATTGAAAATTTGTAGCCTTAAATGGAGTTCAGGGCTGGCCAGGGTGTGCCAGAAGCTTGGCTTCCTCCATTGCCAGGGAAACCCAAATCTCCTGCTTGCTCAGTGGCTACAGCCATCTTGGTTAATTTGCATACTTGCTCCTGATTGGCTGGTGGGTGTGACTTGTGGGCGTAGCAGGTCGATTTGCATATAACTCTTTTATTAGATAGGATAGTACTACTACTACTAATAATAAAAAGAGTAAACATTGATTTAGTAATTACATAAGGCTCTTTACAATATTAACTTAATCCTCATAATACCATATATAATGCTATTATTTTCCCATTTTCCCTCTGAGGAAACTGAACTACCGAGTTTCTTGGTTGGGGTCACAGCTGGTAGATTGGGATTCATACAGAACCAATGTGACTCTATCCTGTGCTTACCGTCTGTCTGAACATGAATCTGCCTTCAGAAGCAGACTGATTGCAATTTTCAAGTAATGGAAATCCTTTGGTGATCATAAAATTTGATCTTTGCTGAGCTTCCACAGATATATTGGTTGCCTCTTGTTTATGAGGTGCAAGCAAAGGCATAAATGAACAAAAGAACCACATGGAAAGAACATTATTGCCATGGCATTAAAGACAAATTTGGAATGTTGCTCACAGCATATATCTTGGAAATGTTAATCAGGGTTTGGGGGAAAGTATGTCCAGGTAGTCTGGATTCTTTTTTAACACAGTTTTGTCAATTCAGAGATGGGTTACATAAAACCCAGAAGCACAAAGGAATTAAAGTGAAAAAGAAGAGCTTGTTTAAAATGACAAGTTTATATTTCTCTTCATTTACCCAGTTAATTCTGACCCATCTTTGAGATGGAAGCAGGAATGTTTTAGTTTCTGACCCCTCTTTATGAAATTAGATTCCCAAAGAGACTTATAATTTCCTTCCAAGTTAAATTGAATTTTAATCAATAAATTAAATTATGATTTGTTACTGCCTCTCACCTTTTCTAGTCCACACTGACAGTCAGCACACACTGACTACTTAACTTACATTCCACACAGTACTGATTGCTTTGCCTGCAGCTGCCCACTGATCCACCAGCCCCTCCCAGTGCACATCTTATTTCCCATGTTTTTCTAGATTTGAAAACTAAGACAGAGAGGGTCCATGAAAAATGCAAAGCATCCAGTCAGTAAAGGACAGAGCCCAGATTTGACCCATTAAAGTGATTCTGGAGTTGTTGCTTTAACTGCTGCACTGACTGCTTCTCAGTGAGCCCCAGGACCAACCCTGGCCAGTGATCTCTGAGATCAGTGAGTATAGGGGAACAAGTGGATGGGTAAGTGCAGGGAGGGGTGAGCAAATTAATTACTCGACTAGTGCTTACCTCTCTAAGTCACACCTTGCCCATGAAAGTGCTGCATGCTTTTATATTATTAAGCATTTAGCCTGAATTTTGACTGGTCAATAAAATGACCCAAGAATTTGCAAAAACAAAGCTGGAGCCTCCCACCATTCCCACCCTCCCTGAGGATCAACAACTGGAAAAGGTTTATTTTTCCTGTATGACTACAGAGGAATCCCGAATAGAACATTGAAGACAGAGTGAGCTCCAGAGAGACAAGAATGGGAGATTCACCCAGACTCTCAATCAGTTTTGGATTCTTACACTCGGGCTCCCTGGAGAAACATCATCTCCGATGGTCCGAAGGGATGGCTGGTTTACTGGTCTGGGATTTGTGAGCAGAATTAGCTGATTAAAAGGGTAATGTATAATTGTAGACACAGGGTGTCTGGAGGCAACCTTTGACCATTTGCTGTTTAACTGAATTAATGTTGGCCAGTTATAGATCTTCTGCTTGCAAATTTTCCAGCTAATTATTTTGAGTCCCAAATCTGCATTCTGTGTGTGCCACTGGATTGTCAGCATTATGCCGGCCTCAGCAGTGATTTAACCAGAGCCAGCTCTCAAAGCAAGGGGACATTTCACAAGCAGGACTGCACTCACACTGGGCTGCAGCATCTTTCCCCCTTTGATTTTAGAAAGATGATGTTGGTCGGGGTGATGACTCTCCCGTTGCAATTTCTCTGATGTTTCTCAGGCCGCTGTACCATGAACCTCCAGAGATTGATGGTTGCTCTTGTTCCTTGAGGTTCAGTGCATTTCAGAGGCTGGTATTTAGAGAGAAGCCTTGCTTCCACAGCTCCCAACCTTTTGTACACTCCTTTGAGTTTGCTGGTGGGGATGGTAATGAGCTTCCTTCAACAACCTGTGTGCAGTGGTTAATTGTGTTCTGGTATCAAATTTTGGTTTCTTAAGAAGCAAATGCCTAGTCAAGGATTTGAGAGCAAATAGGTTTATCTGGAAGGTGATGTCAGAAAAATACCAACAGAGATGAGGAAATGAGCCCAGGGAGAGAATACAACAAATGGAAGGTGCGTGATTAAGACAGATACTGTGGGCAACTGGAGCTCAAGTCCACTTGGAAACTGCTATCTCACCTGAGGGGCCAGGGAGGGAGCTGGGGTATTTGGCACCAGCTCTCATCAGTTCTGGTCACAGGCTGCTCTTGGGGTTGTGAATTTCCCAAACCCTCTCCTGGGACCAGGCTAAGGTAAAATAGCCTCCTACGTACAGGTCACAGAGATATCTCAAGGAAGATAATGCAAAGTCCCATGCCACTTGGGAAGCCTGAGGGATATAAGAGGGGCTCCGACAGTGAACCCTTAAACCTGGATTCAAACTCCGGCTCTGTATCCTAAATGGATGACCTTGGGCAAGCATTTTAACTGTACTAAGATGCCAGGCTCCTTGTCTATAAAAATGTATCTTATACTGGGTACATTGCAGGGCTTGTGGAGATTAAAGGAGATTATATAACTAGCAAATTTAGCACAGTGCTGCATAGTAAGGGATGAAAAACATTACCAGTCATAATTTGAGTATATAGAGTATCTTCTCTGAGCCTGTATATGTGGTAGGTGATTAGAAAGATGATCCCTATCTTCATGGGAACTTAACGTCTTTGACTACTAAACCTACAACTATTTCTTACTTACTAAATTATCCCTCATTCAGGGATGTGCCATTTTATGTTCCAAAATATATATCCTAAGTTTTTGACCCCTGGATAAAGTGTTCCAAGGACTTTCTAAAATATATATTTTATTGATTTTTTACAGAGAGGAAGAGAGAGAGATAGTTAGAAACATTGATGAGACAGTCATCAACCAGCAGGCTCTTGCACACCCCTTCCTGGGGATATGCCCGCAATGAAGGTACATGCCCTTGACCGGAATCGAACCCAGGACCTTTTCGTCTGCAGGCCAATACTCTATCCATTGAGCCAAACCGGTTTCGGCATGTTCCAAGGACTTTCAAAGTCAAAGCTGAGGCTTTGGAAGCAATTGTAAATTTTAAATGCTCCATAGCCAAATTTACAAAAATAAAAGGTGTAGTCAAATTAATTTTAATAACATTTAGTCCAACCTATAAAATATTATAATTTTAATGTGTAATTCACATAAAAGTTATGAGTTAGATCTTTCACTTTATTTATTTATTTATTTATTTTGGTATTCAGCCTTCAAAACCCAACATGTATTTTATACTGACCATTTCAGCCCAGCTACATTTAAAAAATATATATTTTATTGATTTTTTACAGAGAGGAAGAGAAGGATAGAGAGTTAGAAACATCAATGAGAGAGAATCATTGATCAGCTGCCCCTTGCACACCTCCTACTGGGGATGTGACCATAACCAATGTACATGCCCTTGACCGGAATCGAACTCAGGACCCTTTAGTCCGCAAGCCGTGGCTCTATTCACTGAGCCAAACTGATTTTGGCCCAGCTACATTTTAAGGGCTCTGTAGCCATGTGTGGTCACCATCTTGGACTATGAAGGTCTAATGGACCCTAGAATCCTTTTAGAAGTAACTTCCAATGGGATGGTTAGTTTTCCTCCTCTTCACAGATGACATTGCTCCTCACATCTATGAAAGGGAAGGCGGTTTTAACTCAGGCATTATAGAAAATCTGCAGATTTTGTAATGAAATTTCACACATGGAAACTGTGGTGAGAGTCTTAGCAGGTGTAAAAATCTGACTAACTTATTTCTTTGACTGTTACTGAATGGAAACTGGTGCAGCTGTTCCCATTTACACGTTTTTCAAATATCATTGCCAAAACAAAATTGTTGGTAACCACAGGAGAAGCATCAACTTACCTCTTCATTTGGGAAATGAAATTAAATCCTCAGCTCATTTCTAAAAGTCACAGATCTGGTACAAGGTAGCAGGCCCAACACATGAGCTGATGTTAAAATATTGATGGCTTTGCTGTTCTCAGGTGCTGCTGCTAACATCTGCAGATGATTTGGACTGTACTCCTGGATTTCAGCAGAAAGTGTTCCATATCAATCAGCCAGTGGAATTCATCGAGGACCAGGCAATTCTGAACTGTAAGCAATGCCACTTGATATTTCTGGCCTCTTCTCATATTTAAATTCATCAATGTCTATTAATATGTCTCAGGATGTGGTATTCCTTACATTAAGCATTTTTCTACCCATTATTCTCATTCTGCTTGATCTAGAGTGGATGGTCTTGAATTAGGGTCTTGCCAGCTTAGAGGTGAACAGAGTCATGTGTATCTAGTATTTGATCACTGGTGAGTGTTTTCCAACCACTCCTGCAAAAGGGGACTGCTACCTTCCAATGTGAGTATTATTCTGTGCAAAGGAAATGAAGTTTGTTTTGCCTGGCAGATCCCTGAGAGCAGAACCTTCCTGTGGATCACTGTCCTATCTGTATTAAGTTGTTCACAGCATTAGATCAAAATAATGGTGAGGGCAGGATATTGGTTTCTGGAAATTTTTAGGCATAGAGATTCAAAATCCTTATTATTTTTTAATTTTATTTTTATTGTTTACATTATTACAGATGCCCCCCTTTCTTCCCCCACCTCCATTTGCCCCTCTCCACCCAAACCCCACCCTTCTCTCCCTCTGGCCATAACCACATTGTTGTCTGTGTCCATGGTCTATGCATATATGTTCTTTGGCTAATCTCTTCACCTTTTTTTTTTTTTATACCATCAACCCCTCTGACCTCCCCTCTGATGTCTGTCAATCTGTACCATGTATCTATGAATCTGATTCTTTTTTGTTCATCAGTTTATTTTGTTCATTAGATTCCACATATATGTGAGATCATATGGCATTTGTCTTTCTCTGACTGACTTATTTAGCTGGGTATTATATTTCTTAAGGCTAATAAGATGGTTTTCAGAAAAGAGTCAAAACCTCTACTGGCTATTTGTGGATTAAACTCAAATCCTCCGAAATTCCATTTAAATTCCTTAAAATATGCTCATATCTGTGGCTATAATCTCTTTATGTTATTTAATACCGATATTATATTGTTTAATCCTTATGACAGCATGAAATATATTGCTAAACTCATAACAAAAATAGCTTTAGCAGAGTAAAATTTACCACTGATGGTAGACAAATAACCATTTAATTGTGGGTTCTTGAGCACTATTCTTTAACACTTTGGAATGAAGGATATGAAAACAGTGTAGTAATTTGATCAGCTGCTCCGAGGTCCTTTCAGGGAAGATAATTGTACATTTGCCTCCCTGGCCTCAGGTTTGCCTTCGAGGCTGGCCCCCATTCCTTCATTCCTGTGCTGTGGCTGACATGCTTAAAGACAGTTAAAAAAACGACAGTCTGCTTGATTAGATTGTTCTGTGAGGCCAGAACACAGTTTAAGAGTTGAAAGGAACACAATAATGAAGATGCAATGTCGAGCATCAAGGGAGCTATCCAAGGTGAAGCCCAGGCACATCTTGATGCAATTACGCCAATGAAATCATTTCAATAATTAGAGTCTGTAATGACACGGTGCAGAACTGGCACAATAAGTGAATTCCAATATGTGATTTCATATTCATTTGATCCCTGAGTATGACTCCTGGGTCAGGCCATCAGAAACCCTCATTTGTCTTTTGATTTTGCTATTAATCAGAATCAATATATTTCAAACAAAACTTGGTTTATGAGAACCATTTTTCTAGGTTTCCTATCATCTGTCTCAGCTACTCTTCTTCACTCTCTCTCTCTTTCACACACACACACACACACACACACACACACACACACACACACTTCTCTTTTTTTTCCAGTGATCTTCTCCAAATGGTATCTATATTAACACATGTGGAAATGTGAAGCCATCGTGAGTATGGAAATTAATAGTGTTGATATGCAAAGCAGGCTCATACTAGTAAATGTGATTGCTTTTCTAATCTTCACTACACCAAACAGCTTTTAATTCACTGCTGAGAAGCTGGAAACAATTATACTTTGGGAGATCTTTTTAATTTCAAGTAAACCATACTGTACATTCCAATATCACTGGTGTGTGTGTGTGTGTGTGTGTGTGTGTGTGTGTGTGTGTGTGTTTTCAATCCCTAAGTAATTAAGTGGGTTATGGTTGTTGGTTCTGTGTAAGCTAGTAAATGGTAAATAGAATTGGTATGATTATCAGTGATAGTACATTCAGGAAAAGTCAGTGATATTGGAATTGAGAATTTTAAATATTTATATGTGACTTTGTGTGTGAATTATAGTCAGCAAAGCCTGACTACCCCTTCTCAGTGAAACTGTAGGACCATATATATTATAAGGGTGGAAAAATACATGGAGCATATCTAGTTAGGTACTTTTGAGTTCATCTCAAAGCAATGGACAGAGGTTATGAGTATAGACCCTGTGATTATGTTTAATTGTGCCTAAATGAAGAAGAAAGTTTTTATAGATTGGAGATGGCCTGTTGGATATTGTTTGGAAAGTCTGGATTTCCAGAAGTTGTAGAAGAAATTGCTCTATTCCACTTGCAAGAGGAAATACAAACTCAAGACACTGGATGGACTTTTTTCCTAACCAAGTAACATTTTAAGTCTCTCTCCCTTCTCCATGTCTCCCCCTCCCTCTTTCCTCTCTCATCCTCAGTTCTCTCATGCATTTCCTCATAATTCAACACAAGACCCTTCTGTCTCTGAAAAATGTGATTAAGAAACTGATGAGTACTGTTAACATGAACACTATATTGATAGAAGGCCAGCATCTGGATGAAAATGGAAAAAGATCAAACAAGACCAAAAAGTGTTAACATACTTACATAATTGAGGTTGAGATCCAGAAAATGAATATTTTAGTGATATATAAATACAATCTGATATTCTAAGTAATAACAGATATTAAAAGAAATCAGGTTTCTAACATTATCTTGGGCTTATATAATTTTCTCTTTCCAGTTTTGCTTTATATTTGCCCTATTTAAGAGCTTTGATTTCCAATTGTTGTGAATTTCCAGAAGGTATAAACACAGCATAATCAACTGTTGTCCACAATTTTCATTATTTTATAAAGTTGTCTGATAGTGTTGTCTCCTTGCCTGACAGACCTAGTACATCTGCTCATAGCCCATACAGCTGCTCATATTTCACTAGTTCTGTGTTCAGCTTTTAGCAAATTATAAGGAATGTTTATTCTGTCCATAGCTCCCTGCTCTTTTTGTTCAGACAGTACTATATTCTTTTATCTTTTTTCATCTTTCCCCTCAATTCTCAATGACTTATCTTTTTCTACTTTAACTGTTACTAATGGTCACCTCCTCTCCTTTTATTTACCTAATATTTTATTCACTGTTCACTTCAATACATCTTTTCTTCAGTTGTTCTAAAGCCTTTTATTTTCTTCACATCCCAGTAACTCTTTATTCTACTCTCCTTTCCGCTAACTAAACTTGCTTTCGTCTTTAAAAGGCCATTTTCAACAAGCTTCTAGATGAAAACATGGCACCCCACTGTTTCCTTTAATGTGACCAGGGGATCACTTTCATGGTGTCTCTCACTGTATAAAGCAAAGCTCCCATCTCATGATAACTTAGGCAAAACTTTACTGGCTTTATTTCAGTCTTGAAAGGTGAGCTGGGAAAATACCTGTGGTTATTCCCCTATTTGATGTGTATAACAAAAAAGGGGAAAATAGCCTAGAGAGCAGAAACTCAGGAAGGAGACAGCCATTCCAGGTCTTTGGTCTCAGGGAGGCATCTGTGATAGGTTTGTGGCAAGAGGCCCCATCAACACCTAAAACTATCTAACATGGGTTGGTGTGCCCACTATTTTGGCACCATGAGATTTGGATAGTGTCTATGGTGTTAGCTTCCCAGGTGACACTCAGGCTCCAGAAGAATAGCTGGCCTGGAAATCTGACCAGCCACCCAGCTGATAGGGAAAAATACCAAGTGATAAGCCCCTATCTGGTATGATGGAGAATACAGGACAGCACATTCTGCTTTTCCCTGTCAGCTGAGACAGACCTCCTGCATAGGGGGCAGACTTGTGATCATCTTATTTGCTAGGGAAATCATGATCCTCTAGCCTTTGTTAGTGGGAGACATCTCCAACTACCAGTGAAGGACAACCATTGGCCCCCAGCCACTATCAGGTCAGCACTTTTCTTCCACCTTGTTTATCCTTCATGGATCACTCTTCTGGGACCACACAGATACACAGAGGGAAATAGCCACACCTGAGCTCACCTAAAATGCAAACTTATAAGAACTTACACTTAATAAAGGACATGCATTACTCAGAATAGGCTTGGTGTCAAACAACCCCAGTAACATAAGAGAATAGACGTTTATTTTTCATTCAGGTTATGTGGATGCAGGTTGGGCTGCTTTTTTGGGTAGTTCTCCTCCAAATGGCTGCCCTCCAAGTGGGAACTGGAGGACCCATCTTACTTCTAACTTGGTCCTGCCATTTGTTCCTGCCAATCACTCTTCTACCTCCAAGCTGCAAGCCAGGGGAACAATATAAAAGTATGGGGGCTTGGCTCCCTACTCTTTATTGGTTGAGGACCAACCTATGAACCAGGAGGTCACATTGCAATTCCTGGTCAGGGCATGTGCTTGTGTTGAGGGCTCCATCCCCAGTGTGGGGTGTGCAGGAGGCAGCTGATCAATGTTTCTCTCACCATTGATGTTTCTATGTCTCCTTCTCCCTTCCTCTCTGAAATTAATAAAAATATTTTTAAGAAAAGAGTATGGGAAGACACCCCACATGTGTAACCACCTTAGCTCATAAGGGACATACATCATTTCTACTTCATGCTATTATACACACCTAATCATGTAGGCATCCTAACTACAAACAAAGCTGGGGAATGTACAACACTTATGTTTAGTGCATTTTCGAACTCTCTATACAGATTCCAACAAAACAGTGTGACCCAGGTTACAAAGAGACTTCTGAAGAGACAGAGAAAGACCACAAAGGAAGCAGCTATCTCAGAGTAACTTGGGCCTACACGGGAGAGAGGACAAAGGTCAAGCAAGTGAGCAAGGTCATGTAACTAACTAAACGCTGCCTTTCTAATCAGAGTATGCT